ATGTCGTTATCATGTCTCCCCTGACCCTCCTGTCCTCCAGTGTCGTCAGGCCGATTTCCCTTAATCTTTCTTCATAAGACATTCCCCTTAGCTCTGGAACTAACCTTGTGGCAAACCTTTGTACTTTCTCTAGTTTCTTGACGCGCTTTATCAAGTGCGGGTTCCAAACAGGTGCTGCATACTCCAGTATGGGCCTGACATACACGGTGTACAGTGTCTTGAACGATTCCTTACTAAGGTATCGGAATACTGTTCTCAGGTTTGCCACTCGCCCATATGCTGCAGCAGTTATCTGATTGATGTGTGCTTCCGGAGACATGCTCGGTGTTATACTCACCCCAAGATCTTTCTCCTTGAGTGAGGTTTGCAGTCTTTGGCCACCTAGCCTATACTCTGTCTGTGGTCTTCTGTGCCCTTCCCCTATCTTCATGACTTTGCATTTGGCAGGATTAAATTCGAGAAGCCATTTGCTGGACCAGGTGTCCAGTCTGTCCAGGTCTCTTTGAAGTCGTGCCTGGTCCTCATCAGATTTAATTCTCCTCATTAACTTCACATCATCTGCAAACAGGGACACTTCTGCGTCTAACCCTTCCATCATGTCGTTCACATATACCAAAAATAGCACTGGTCCTAGGACCGACCCCTGTGGGACCCCGCTCGTCACAGGTGCCCCTGGGGAACATCATTACGTACCAGACTCGTTGTTCCCCTCCCTGTCAGGTATTCTCTGATCCTTTGCAGTGCCCTTCCTGTTATATGCGCCTGATGCCTAGCTTCTGCACTAATCTCTTGTGAGGAACTGGGGTCAAAGGCCTTCTTGCAGTTCAAGAAGATGCAATCACCCACCCCTCTCTCTCGTGTCTTACTTCTGTTATTTTATCATAAAACTCCAGAAGGTTTGTGACACAGGATTTGCCTTCCGTGAATCCGTGCTGGTTGGCATTTATACTCTTGTTCAGTTCCAGGTGCTCCACACTCTCCTCCTCCTGTGTGTGTGTGTGTGTGTGTGTGTGTGTGTTGTGTGTGTGTGTGGTGTGTGTGTGTGTGTTTTATGTGTTGTGGTGTGGGGTGTGTGTGTGTGTGTGTTTTGTTGTGTGTGCGTATATATACATAAGAACGAGACAAGAACGTTATATGCAAATGTTAAAAATTTTCGGTTCCTTAAAAATCCAATGAAATTAATTAATTTTCTCGAAAAAACTAAATAGTCTCACGAGAACGTTTAAAAAAATATCTCCTGAATAATTGATAAATTTGTTTAATATAATGCCAAACAACACGACCTCTAACGACCTCAAAGGTAACAAGTGACTTTGTCAGACTTTTTAGGGTTATTCTCGGTAATTTACACTACGATAATTGTACTTATCAGCCACAGTGCGGGTAGGATTTGAACGCATGGGAAGTGAATCGTAAAACTCCAGGACAGTGAGTAAGCCACTCGGTTTACGCACTGTTCTGGAGTGTTACGATTCACTCGCCATAGGTTCAAACACCACCTGTACCATGGTTAGTTTGTGATCATGTTATGACGATTTTGTGGGCCATGAAACTATTTGTGTATACCTGTGCCTAAATAAACTTACATGAAGCAGAATATTCCAACCTTCACAAAATTTGTCCTGTTTCCTGACTAACCTTACCTAACCTAACCTTACCAAAATAGGGTCCAGTAAGCCTGATCAGTCTCCTATGGGGGGCCAAAATATTCCATCCTCTCCATACAAAAGCCCACTCACACAGAAAGACCAATCTCCTACATAAACCACCACACAATAAGGCCTAAAATTGCAAAATCATTCTCCCACACCAGTCAACATGTCCCACGCAGCGCACAATATATCTCACAACATTACCAATCCCATAAGTGCAAACGGCCACTCAACTTCTTCGGAAGTAGACACGAAGAGTAAGAACAAGGCCAACCAGGCCACGGAGATCCAGAACAAGTCCTCAACGTGTCTTGACTTCAGACTAGAGGGACTGACTACCACCTAGCAAAAGTGAGGGACTGATCTAGTCAAAACAACAGCAGCTACTACTGCTTCTGTTACTACAACTACTACTGCTGTCTCCAGTGTTTTATTCTCTTGTATTCGACTGATGAGGTCTGCTGCTCAGGTGAAACGTTACGTCAGTAAAGACACCCGAGTGTTGCACATATATTTTATTTATCATCTTGTGGGTATTGTATACCATTAATAAGGTATGTACCAGTCCCCTCACACAAGACAAACAAGTATTCCCAAGTCCTTTTAACTCCTCATAAATCCAAGCCACTCTTCACGAATGAAGAATTAGACACATGTGCAACATATGGGAATAAAAGTACCCAGATGCTGCACATGTGTCTAATTCTTCATTTTATCGGTACTGTATACCAAGCATATACAATCATTCAAGTCCGATGAAGCACTCTGGCCGTCCTGGAAAAGGAGATCCAGAGGCAACGCGAGACCAGTCGGCCGCCCGGTGGAGGCACACAGGGAGAGCAGCTTACCTGAGTGTCGTTCCAGATGACATGAAGCTTGTAGTTCCTGAGGACGGTGGGGTGTTCGTTGACATGTTTCACGGCCAGGTTGAGGGCTGGCATCACCCCTCTCCCCAGGGAGTGCTTGGGACCGTCCCCCACCTGTCGCCGGGGAGAGAGAGAGAGAGAGAGACAACGGTTAGACTCAAAGCCTAAAATTGTTCACCAGGATGCAACAATACACAGATAATCATGACTAATTTAGACACGTAAGAAAATTGAAAGTTTTTTTTTTGTACTCTCTTTCGCAACATTTTATTCACAGTAAAACTTTAATAACCGCGCAGTTAATATAAAAAAATAAGTAATATATCCTGTAAGTGATATATCTATGCGAGGTAAAGCCCCACTGTGGGTAATAAAGCCCCACTGTGGGTAATAAAGCCCCGCTGTGGGTAATAAAGCCCCACTGTGGGTAATAAAGCCCCACTGTGGGTAATAAAGCCCCACTGTGGGTAATAAAGCCCCACTGTGGGTAATAAAGCCCCACTGTGGGTAATAAAGCCCCACTGTGGGTAAAAGCCCCACTGTGGGTAATAAAGCCCCACTGTGGGTAATAAAGCCCCACTGTGGGTAATAAAGCCCCACTGTGGGTAATAAAAGCCCCACTGTGGGTAATAAAGCCCCACTGTGGGTAATAAAGCCCCACTGTGGGTAACAAAGCCCCACTGTGGGTAACAAAGCCCCACTGTGGGTAATAAAGCCCCACTGTGGGTATAAAGCCCCACTGTGGGTAATAAAGCCCCACTGTGGGTAATAAAAGCCCCACTGTGGTTATAAATAGCCCCACTGTGGGTAATAAAAGCCCCACTGTGGGTAATAAAGCCCCACTGTGGGTAATAAAGCCCCCACTGTGGGTAATAAAGCCCCACTGTGGGTAATAAAGCCCCACTGTGGGTAATAAAGCCCCACTGTGGGTAAAAAAGCCCCACTGTGGGTAATAAAGCCCCACTGTGGGTAATAAAAGCCCCACTGTGGGTAATAAAGCCCCACTGTGGGTAACAAAGCCCCACTGTGGGTAACAAAGCCCCACATGTGGGTAATAAAGCCCCACATGTGGGTAATAAAGCCCCACTGTGGTAATAAAGCCCCACTGTGGTAATAAAGGCCCCACTGTGGGTAACAAAGCCCCACTGTGGGTAATAAGCCCCACTGTGGGTAATAAAGCCCCACTGTGGGTAATAAAGCCCCACTGTGGGTAACAAAGCCCCACTGTGGGTAACAAAGCCCCACTGTGGGTAATAAAGCCCCACTGTGGGTAATAAAGCCCCACTGTGGGTAATAAAGCCCCACTGTGGGTAATAAAGCCCCACTGTGGGTAATAAAGCCCCACTGTGGGTAATAAAGCCCCACTGTGGGTAACAAAGCCCCACTGTGGGTAATAAAGCCCCACTGTGGGTAATAAAGCCCCACTGTGGGTTAATTAAAGCCCCACTGTGGGTAACAAAGCCCCACTGTGGGTAATAAAGCCCCACTGTGGGTAATAAAGCCCCACTGTGGGGTAATAAAGCCCACTGTGGGTAATAAAGCCCCACTGTGGGTAACAAAGCCCCACTGTGGGTAATAAAGCCCCACTGTGGGTAATAAAGCCCCACTGTGGGTAATAAAGCCCCACTGTGGGTAACAAAGCCCCACTGTGGGTAAACAAAGCCCCACTGTGGGTAATAAAGCCCCACTGTGGGTAATAAAGCCCCACTGGGGTATAAGCCCACTGTGGTAATAAAGCCCCACTGTGGGTAATAAAGCCCCACTGTGGGTAATAAAGCCCCACTGTGGGTAACAAAGCCCCACTGTGGGTAATAAAGCCCCACTGTGGGAAAATAAAGCCCCACTGTGGGTAACAAAGCCCCACTGTGGGTAATAAAGCCCCACTGTGGGTAATAAAGCCCCACTGTGGTAACAAAGCCCCACTGTGGGTAATAAAGCCCCACTGTGGGTAATAAAGCCCCACTGTGGGTAACAAAGCCCCACTGTGGGTAATAAAGCCCCACTGTGGGTAATAAAGCCCCACTGTGGGTAATAAAGCCCCACTGTGGGTAATAAAGCCCCACTGTGGGTAATAAAGCCCCCTGTGGGTAACAAAGCCCCACTGTGGGTAATAAAGCCCCACTGTGGGTAATAAAGCCCCACTGTGGGTAATAAAGCCCCACTGTGGGTAAAGCCCCACTGTGGGTAATAAAGCCCCACTGTGGGTAATAAAGCCCCACTGTGGGTAAAGCCCCACTGTGGGTAATAAAGCCCCACTGTGGGTAATAAAGCCCCACTGTGGGTAAAAGCCCCACTGTGGTAATAAAGCCCCACTGTGGGTAAAGCCCCACTGTGGGTAAAGCCCCACTGTGGGTAATAAAGCCCCACTGTGGGTAAAGCCCCACTGTGGGTAAAGCCCCACTGTGGGTAATAAAGCCCCACTGTGGGTAAAGCCCCACTGTGGGTAAAGCCCCACTGTGGGTAATAAAGCCCCACTGTGGGTAAAGCCCCACTGTGGGTAATAAAGCCCCACTGTGGGTAATAAAGCCCCACTGTGGGTAAAGCCCCACTGTGGGTAATAAAGCCCCACTGTGGGTAATAAAGCCCACTGTGGGTTAAGCCCCACTGTGGGTAATAAAGCCCCACTGTGGGTAATAAAGCCCCCACTGTGGGTAAAAGCCCCACTGTGGGTAATAAAGCCCACTGTGGGTAATAAAGCCCCACTGTGGGTAAAGCCCCACTGTGGGTAATAAAGCCCCACTGTGGGTAATAAAGCCCCACTGTGGGTAAAGCCCCACTGTGGGTAATAAAGCCCACTGTGGGTAATAAAGCCCCCACTGTGGGTAAGCCCCACTGTGGGTAAATAAAGCTCCACTGTGGGTAATAAAGCCCCACTGTGGGTAAAGCCCCACTGTGGGTAGTAATAAGCCCCACTGTGGGTAATAAAGCCCCACTGTGGGTAAAGCCCCCACTGTGGGTAATAAAGCCCCACTGTGGGTAATTAAAGCCCCACTGTGGGTAAAGCCCCACATCGTGGGTAATAAAGCCCCACATGTGGGTAATAAAGCCCCACTGTGGGTAATAAAGCCCCACTGTGGGTAATAAAGCCCCACTGTGGGTAATAAAGCCCCACTGTGGGTAATAAAGCCCCACTGTGGGTAAATAAAGCCCCACTGTGGGTAATAAAGCCCCACTGTGGGTAATAAAGCCCCACTGTGGGTAATAAAGCCCCACTGTGGGTAATAAAGCCCCACTGTGGGTAATAAAGCCCCACTGTGGGTAATAAAGCCCCACTGGGGTAATAAAGCCCCACTGTGGGTAATAAAGCCCCACTGTGGGTAATAAAGCCCCACTGTGGGTAATAAAGCCCCACTGTGGGTAAACAAAGCCCCACTGTGGGTAATAAAGCCCCACTGTGGGTAATAAAGCCCCACTGTGGGTAACAAAGCCCCACTGTGGGTAATAAAGCCCCACTGTGGGTAATAAAGCCCCACTGTGGGTAACAAAGCCCCACTGTGGGTAACAAAGCCCCACTGTGGGTAATAAAGCCCCACTGTGGGTAATAAAGCCCCACTGTTAGTAACAAAGCCCCACTGTGGGTAATAAAGCCCCACTGTGGGTAATTAAAGCCCCACTGTGGGTAATAAAAGCCCCACTGTGGGTAACAAAGCCCACTGTGGGTAACAAAGCCCCACTGTGGGTAATAAAGCCCCACTGTGGGTAATAAAGCCCCACTGTGGTTAATAAAGCCCCACTGTGGGTAATAAAGCCCCACTGTGGGTAATAAAGCCCCACTGTAGGCAATAAAGTCTCATTATGAGCGAAACGTGTCTACGAATTACCAGGTGTCACCTTATGCCATTGTCACCAAGAACTGAAAACGATATCTAGGCGAGATTTCGGTCCGTTCTGGACCATTGTCAAGTAGCAAGTGCGAAAGGATTAGAAAGAGGTATTAGAAATACCGGTGTAACCTAGGAAAGTAGTGGTAAGGAGGAGGAGGAGGAAGAGAAAGGGATCAGAAGGAAGAATGATAAGAGAAGGAGAAGGAAGAGGGGGAAAGAGATACATAATATCTAATTATAATGATTTGGAACGCTATCCTATTCTTTATAATAGTTACGTTGTAATAACACCAGTAGTGTGCTGCTACACTATTCCATATGATAGTTACATTGTGGGAACACTAGCAGTTTGCTGCTACACTATTCTATGTGATGTATACGTTGTGGGAACACCAACAGTGTTCAGTGTTCAGTGGGTCTCGTGGTCAGTACTACGGTCTAGTGAAATTCCCTAGTTCGTTCCAGTGTTCATTGTCACAGCCAAATTAAATTGCATCCAATCCTGTTAAGGTCACTGTTTCACTGACCTTAACAGGAATGTTGACTGTGTTGTTAACACAGTCAACAGAGTGGCTATATACCAGCTTTGAACACTTAACATAATAATAAAATAATAATTAAAATAATAGTAATAATAATAATAATATGATAATAGTGACAATAATAATAATGATATTAATATTAATAATATTAGTGGTAATAGAGTAGTAGTTGTAGTAGTAGTAGTAGTAGTAGTAGTAGTAGTAGTAGTAGTAGTAGTAGTAGTAGTAGTAGTAGTAGTAGTAGTAGTAATAGTAGTAGTAGTAGTAGTAGTAGTAGTAGTAGTAGTAGTAGTAGTAATAATAATAATAATAATAATAATAATAATAATAATAATAATAATAATAATAATAATAGACGGTAGTGCAGAGAGGAAGAGTGTTGTCATAATGAAATTTTAAATGGAAGTAATATTTCTTTAGAGTGAGTTAGCTCTCGTAGGGAGAGAGAGAGAGAGACAGAGAGAGAAGAAGAGAGAGGTAGAGAGAAGAGAGAGAGAGAGAGAGAGAGAGAGAGAGGAGAAAGGAATTACTAGAGAATGAGGGAGAGTAATTGAGTGAGAGGAGGACAAGGCGATGAGAGTGCTACAACGGAGACCAGATGAGAGGGAGAAGAGGCGATAATAAAAGAATGATTGGATAATGAGAGGAAATAGTGATAAAAGCAATGAAGAAGGGGAGAACAGGGTGTGATGACAATGGGGTAAGAAGAAAGAAATAAAGAGAGAGAGAGAGAGAGAGAGAGAGAGAG